CTGTCGCTACAAGAATGCTTAATGTGAGGGATTGCATTGGAGTCAATGGGTTAATGCAATCAACTGGTTTTCCTTAGATACAAAACTTTGAATCTATTTGACTTTATGATCTGGTTGAACTGTAAAGTGCCTTGAGATGACCTGTTGTGAATTGGCGCTATATAAATAAACTGAATTGAAATTGAAATAGCAATATTCTTTACATTTCTTAGTTTTTTTAGATTTAAGCTTCAGTGTTCCCCATCCTGCTTATGCTGTTTTTTTTACTAATGTTCTTTAACAAATTTCTGAAGCTGTCTGAGAAGAGTTTTTATTTTATATAATTTACATTTAACACAGTGTGGACTCTATTTATCTGTACGCTTATTCCTCATAGCTTATTATCATACTTCTTATTTTAATCCCACCCACGCCTCTTTGCAATCTAAGTAACAGAAATATACAAAGCTTATGCTTTTATATTTTTATCTTTACAAATTAAAATCATATACAATTTTGCTTTGTAGTTATGCAGTAGTTTGTGCTCATGCAGGTTTAGGGTTAATATATGAATATATGTGACTGGTATTGGGAAATAACACAGGTGCACAGCTTAAAAACTTGTTCCCATCCATCTTCACCATGTTTTTTTCTATTTTCTAACATTTCAACTCTGATCAAAAAATATAGGGAGAAAAGAAAACTGTCACACCTCTTCTAATTTCTCCTGAACTTTGATTAGTCAGTCACACAAATCAAGCGTAGTAACTGGCCTTGCTGTGGAGGAGCGTTAAATTGGAGGCTTAACGCCGTCGAAATCAAATCCTCTTTAGAACATTTTACTCGGGCGTCCTCAAGGCAGGAGAAATCACTTTCCCTGTGTGTCTGAACATTCCTCCCAGGGTCAAAACTGTGTCCTTACCGTTTTGAGCCGAGCAGAAGGGCAGCATCAAGTTGCGCAGAAGGACCACCGCCAGCATCAACGCGTTCGGATGCATCATTAGGGCTCGGTGAGGGTCTCTGTCGGACGAATGTGGGAGGAGAGATGGTGCAGGCTATTGATCACGAGATTTAGAGAGATGGGCCCAGCATGTCACCGGGTTCTTCAAAAACAGTCTGATGAGGAGATCCAAAAAAATAAAAAATAAAAATCCCGAGATGCCTCCTTGATTCAAAGACCTTTTGGAGGGCAGCCGTGGGTGAAAGGTCCGGGACGAGGCCAGCCGACTTTATCTACGGCCATAGGCATCGAAGAAGCCTTGCTGGGATTGCAGGGAAGATGTCTTTGGATGTCAGGGGGATTGTCCACGGCGAGGTTCCAAAGATTCAGAGATGCGCAAAACGATGCGCATTTGCGCTCCCACCGGTCACGGTTCGGTGATTAAGATGAGAGTAGCGCGCAAAACGATTCCCGACGGCGGGTGGTGAAGCCGAAACATAAGTCTGTTATCAGCACCGGTCTATTTTTAATACCAACGGAGGAACAGATGCTGGTAGGGAACCAACGGCAGCGACGGAAAGCCGCGCGTGCCCAGTGCGCTCATGACTGGAGATGAACAGAGAGTCTCACCAGCGGCGCGCGCGCGCGCACTGCAGCCGCGCACCTATGCAAAGGATGTTTGTGAACTCAGTTTTATGCCTCCGTCTTTCCCCCCCTTATTTATAGATTGTAGGAGCTGATATTTTTCTCAGTTTTGGGACTTGTTGTTTAGTTTCCATTTTAATATATATTTCAAACAACACGGACCAAATAGCCGAAGGATGTTTGAGGTAAAAGAAAAGAAAATAAACTGTAGAGCAAAATCAAAATCTCTATAAAAAAAGCAAATGATACTTAGAATGCTGGGATTTTAACTAAGTTTTACTCAAACACACGATTCGGATTTCCTCGCAACGAGATTATGAGGATAATCTGGAGCTCTCCAAGAGGATCTTTTGTGAATTATATCATCACTTGCATGTTTTCAACATATACATTTTGCGTTCCTTTTTAAAATGAACATGGCCTCCTGTAATCCTCTTCAATCCCTAATCCGTTCTGCTACACCAGCGCCCTCATGCGGCCAGTTACAGTAAATCTCTAACATCCGTCTCTTGTGTAATGATCTATCTTCTAAATTATTTAATTGAATAGACCGGCAGTATTTTAACACTTGATTTATTTATAATGTGTAATTTTATAACGGATTCCCTACCTGTCGAGTCTAAAAAAAGTATATAATTAAATTACAATATATATTTTTAGACATTTTTAAGGAAAGATAAAAATATTTAAAAATTTCTTGTTATTCCCTATTCCATCAATTCATGTGAAGTAGAGTCAGATACAGTAAGTCAAAAGATCTGCTGGCAATAAGCAGACAAAGGGCATGACTTTGGTAAGATCCCATGGCAAAGCTCCAACTAACGCTTGCTTTTCAGATGAAGGTCAACACAGCAATTTTATAACAAAAAATGGAAGCTCCAAAGACTTATCACCAAATTTTACACCTCATTCTTTTTAACATGCAACCACATGTCCACACATACATCTGCAGGTTCATAAAGTCTTCCTAAATATTCTAGGTGTGCATTACAAGTGCTTGTTTTATTCAGAGCCACAGACAATGAATTATATTGTCGAGGGCCAGTGACTTTATTTGGTTAGGTCTGTATTTTATAGTAATTAGTTTGATATTTGCTATTTTTCATGTTAAAAGCCTAGACACTCAATAGAAAATGCAATAATTGGAATATCTTTTTAGACTTAATTTGGCTATGCTTAGAATCAGTCATGAACATTTAGAAACAAAACAGAAGTATACAAGAGATGATCAGTATAGGAATGAAAGTATCCATCCATCCATCCATCCATCCATCCATCCATCCATCCATCCATCCATCCATCCATCCATCCATCCATCCATCCATCCATCCATC